TTACAGCTCAGCAAGGTTAATGTACCTCCCATGAACACAGGGGTTGGATGAGCACTCATCAATGTTTCTCTCACAGTGATAGCCCATGAAACCTCTGGAGCACACACACTGGTAACCATCAAGACCGTCGATGCACCTCCCGTTGTTTCGGCATGGATTAGATTTGCACTCATCAACGTTCAGCTCGCACCATTTACCTTTAGGAAGAACAAAATCAATACCATATAAATACATTACATTCAGCATTTAGAAATTCTTGTAAATCAAGGTGATCTCGGATATCAAGGTGAAAAAATTAATAAAGGTACGTGCATAAGAACAATGTGGTACATTTTTGCAAAAACCCAAACCAAAATGCTGAGAAAAAAAAAGATTAGGGCTGCACGATAAATCGCATGCGATATTTAATGCGCATGCATGCGATTTATCATGCAGCCCTAAAAAAGATGAAAAGCAAGTCTAATAATTTTCTCAGTATAGATGAGGAAGTTAATTAGACTTAAGTTAAGATGAGGCTAACAGTTAATAAAATCTTTAATAAGGTTAAAAAGCACATTTTCAAAGAATGTTCTATCAACATTTAATATCAGCTATCAACTAGCAGAAATATAGTTGCTTATGCCAATCCATAATTCTGAAAGCATTTAAAATTTGATTTGAAATACAAAATTTTACATCTAAAACCATTTTGTGAGGCATTCAAGGATCTTGTCATTGGTAGCATTGTATTTTACTAGTCTACAGACTGTAGACTTTAGAAAACTATAGAAAGACTATAGATAACTATAGAAAAGCTTTAAAATATGAGTATAGGCATTAAAATCTGTATAAGCATAAAACAATCCATAATTCTGAAAGCATTTAAAATTTGATTTGAAATACAAAATTTTACATCTAAAACCATTTTGTGAGGCATTCAAGGATCTTGTCATTGGTAGCATTGTATTTTACTAGTCTACAGACTGTAGACTTTAGAAAACTATAGAAAGACTACAGATAACTATAGAAAAGCTTTAAAATATGAGTATAGGCATTAAAATCTGTATAAGCATAAAAAATAACAATTTATTTTTGTATTTATATAGTATTTGCACAGTTATCACAAATAATTTAAATTAATATTAATTTAAATTAATATTTAATTTTATCATGCAATTTTTCCTCGATTTGACTCAAATAGTAGTACAAATGGAGGTGTTCAATGGGAGTGTTTTCGCACCAATAGTGGTCATTTCAGGTATTTTTACTTCAATTTGCAGGATACTTCTAATTTGTGTATTTCGAAATGTGCAGTCACGCTTTTGTATGTCACTGGCACAGAGTGCATTATTCTCTAACCTGGATTTATGAGCAAGTTGAATGATGTAAAATCCACTACAAAAAGATTCGGTAACAAACACCCTAATAGGTCATAATTTACCTGGAAAAAAGCTGTAAATTCAGTAAGTTGAGAAGAGCCTGTAAAATCCAGAGGCGAGTAAGACTCCGTAGACACCCAGGGACAGGTTGACAAATGACGGAGATAAAAACGAGAGCCAAAGAGCTGCGATACTAAAGAGCAGACAGCCATTATTCTTCCTCCCTGTAACTACACAAACAAATGGAAGCATTTCCAAAAGCCCCGAGACATCTAAATAAAGAGCAGAAGCGATCTTTTAAACATTATGAATCATATGCTGATATTACAGGAATGTAAACTTAATTCACGCTTGACTACACAAATAATTCAGTCACTTCGGGCGAAAGCGACGCCATCAGTCGCAGTTCAGGTCATGCACTGACAATAAATTAAAGCTTTATTTCAATTACTCACTGCTCAATACACAGCCAGCGAGAAAAACTACCCCTGGTGTTTCTCACTAAAGAAGTTTTCAACCTTTCTTAGCACTGTTCTTCACGCTGAAGTGTTTTGGTGTGTCTCGAAGGCAACGTGGATAAATAAAAGGAACTAAAACGTAACAATGAGGCAGATCATTAACATCTTCTAATTAAAGTGTTTTTCCCAATTGCTCATTCACGGACCGTTGTTAATTCCCTTCATATTGACCTACTGGTTAAGCCGTAATGAATTTATTTCCCTGCGGATAGTCGTCCGCAAACACAACAAAGTGTCAGTGTATCGACTGGGTATGAATTAACTGTAAAAATCGTATTAACCCCAAAACACGAACCGGGTTTTAATATTCAGTCACGACATGCTGTTTGTAGTCAGCCATCAATCAAGTACTTCATATCTCACTGCTTCATACGACACTATCAAGACTGTAGATTGTAAGGAAGTGCACACCAGCCTCGCTTCATAGACAATACATTTACACTGTCAGCGCTCCTAATGAGATAATACAAAACCCTCTTAATCGGCATTTCCTTGTCTGATTTGACAAATAATGCGCCGTCCTATCAGACTTTGTAGAATATGAGAAGCCAAGCTGGGGAGAGATTATAAAGCTGTTGGGTTAATCCTAATGTTGGCTTTCTTAAGGGTGCTCACTGTACTCATCTGAGAGGAGAGAAAAAAACCAAATAATCTTCTCCTCCACTCCTCAATTACTCCTCTCTGCAGGAACTTCTCAAACCCACAGCAAGTTATCAGATTTTCTATCCAAGAGACCAAAAAAGAGAGAACTAGAGCAACGCAAAGAAAGCCAGTGAAGAAAAAAAAGCCTGAAAAAGAAAAAATAAACACTACTATCTTAAATCTGAAGATAAAATAGGAGAGAAAGAGTTGGAAATCTCTAGCAAGTGCTTTGCAGCTTCAGAGAGCAAGAAACGGCTGAACAATTATCAAAAATCATAACTGCTGAATATTTCCCTTGATATTTTAAATATTGATTAATTTCAATCAATAGAATTTAAATTAAAATACTTGTTTTACCATTTAAAAAAATACATCTTTCAGTCATAAAATATTTCAAATAAATAATGTATTATTAAAACATGAAAAAATTAAATAATAAATAAAACATAACTTTATACATATGCATATTAGAGTCATGTAAAAACAACTTTCATTAATAATAGCATTTAAAATAAATTGACACATTTAATGTTTTATTTGTTGAATTTTTTTTGACAGATTTGAATTATGAAAAATGTATTAATATGGCACTCATAGTCCTCTATATGGGGCAACTGCATGTCATAATCTTTATATACGCTATACATCTATAATGCATCTAAAGTGATACGAATGAACTGCTATCGTGCAGGTTCACTAGCTTTAGATGCTACATCATCAAATAATATATCATACAGACATTGTATCAAGTTTCTCTGCCTTTTTTCATGCAAAGCTGCCGATCACAATGGAGGAGACACTTACTAGATCCAAGCAAAATCACAAATAATGTCATTTCACCGAACGAGGCACATTATATGGCGTGCCTGAGAAACACACCATTTCAATTTAAAAATCATTTTGCCGCAGATCAGCCACAGAGACACGTCGGATGGCAGGCTGCCGCATATTGCCTTTTGTATCTTTGATTCCGCCTTCTCGAGAAGTTGCGATGCCGTTACATGTCTTATTAGGGCAAATATTTCCTCTGAGCCCCAGTTGGTTGAACCAATCCAGAATATATCCTCCAGCCTGAGCTCTCAGGGGACGCGTCCGATTCCTCAGATGAGCTCAGAGCTGAGAGGAAAGTAATGACTGGTGCAAGGCAGAGTGGGGCCTGATAATAAAAGAGGTTTCTGTGGGAATTAGGGCCCGTGTGTCAGGCTGAGCTCTCCAAGGAGTTTCCGTGCCTCTGAGATTTCCTTCTTTCCCCTCAGCAGGATGAGGATAAATTGAGGATACAGTACAAAAGACAAATGAAATTAATCTTCAAGCCGGCTGATGGCGTTTGAGATTACATTTAAAAAAAAAAAAACAGCATTGATAAGTGGGCTAGCAATGTAATGGCCTTAGTATTAATAGGTGTTTGCATGTAACCTGAGGTTCTAGCACACATGCGTTTAGATAAAACAGATACAGACATGTACAATGTCAACGTATTGACGTATCTAAAGTGTAAAGTCTTGTATGCACAGTATGTACAAGGTGCAATTGTTTACAAATATTTTCTAATAGGTTGATTATTTCATTTATATATATATATATCTATATATATATATATATATATAAAAAAGATGACTGAGACAACACAAAGACAGAGAAATCACAAATTAAATATAATATTGCTGTTGTTTTGCTTATATTTCACACTTGTTAACTTTTTATAACACCATTCAAAAGTTTAAAGTCTGTAAATTTTTATTTCATCAAGGCTTCATTTATTTGATTAAAAGTACAGTAAAAACAGTAATACTGTAAAATATTATAATTATAAATATTATACAAATTAAAATAACTTTTCTAATTTAATGCATTTTAAAATATGATTTATTTCTGTGACGGTAAAGCTGAATTTTCAGCATCATTACACCAGTCTTCAGTGCCACTTGATCCTTCAGAAATTATTCTAATATGCTGATTATATATATATAAAAAGATGACTGAGACAACACAAAGACAGAGAAATCACAAATTAAATATAATATTGCTGTTGTTTTGCTTATATTTCACACTTGTTAAGCTTTTATAACACCATTCAAAAGTTTAAAGTCTGTAAATTTTTATTTCATCAAGGCTTCATTTATTTGATTAAAAGTACAGTAAAAACAGTAATACTGTAAAATATTATAATTATAAATATTATACAAATTAAAATAACTTTTCTAATTTAATGCATTTTAAAATATGATTTATTTCTGTGACGGTAAAGCTGAATTTTCAGCATCATTACACCAGTCTTCAGTGCCACTTGATCCTTCAGAAATTATTCTAATATGCTGATTTGGTCCCTTAATGCATCCTTGCTGAATACAAGTGTTAATTTCTTAAAAGGGTGGTTGACAGTTTTTTTTCTAGGCTTGATTGTGTTTATGGGGTGAACCGCACGCGTGTCCATGTTTAAAGCTTCTCATAGCTATGTGAAAATAAGTGTATAAATGGAACAGTTCATTGTTTGAGCTGAGCTGGTGATCTGAATGAGAAATTTTGAGAGAGAGAGAGAGAGAGAGAGAGAGAGAGAGAAATGCAGAACGTGTGCAGAGCAGGGCGACGCGAGGAACAGAATTGAGAACCGCTGCTTTAGAACATTGATTTGAAACTTGTGACTCCATTAGGATCATTAGAAGACAGAATCATGATTCATATATGAAAAGATTTTTACGTGCACCCCTAGTTTTCTTCCTCTTCTCTAAAGCATCGCAGCATGGCCTCGCTTCCTTCGTTGCAAGTTCCCTGGGGTGGGGTTTGTGATGTCACAAACCCGGGAAGTAACTCGTTGTAGTCCCTACGAGCCGTTTTTGTAGGCATTAAATTGCCAGAATTTTAAAAGGCGATATCTTTGTTTGCATTGCATTTTCAGTGCCACGACTTTGCAGATATTGTTAATGCTCAAACAGCAAAATGACACACTAACGTTAAAAAAGTGAAATCGCATTCAACCACCTAAAAACAAATTACAAAAAATAAATGGCCTAACATCTAAATTAAATTATTTTAATCAAGAAATAAGTAACATTATTAAAGCGAAAATTATATTTAAAATCACTGAATCAAACTAAACTAATTAGGTTACACAAACAAATATAAATGTAAGGATATATCAGGCAGAAATACAGTATTGTCAGGGCTCTGCCCTGGCAGCTTTGTCTGTGTTGTCTTTGTTTAATGTTTCTTTGTTTGTCTTGTGTTTTCACACATTGTTTTGTCTTTGTTTATGCTTGCCATGTGTTCCTGTGGTCCCACCTCCTTGTTTCCCTTGGTCACGCCCACTTGTTTAGGCCTTGTCTTGTCCTCGTTTCTGTAATTGGGCTCACCTGGCCCTCGTGTACTTTCCTCCCTTTATATTGTGTTGTTTTTCCTCTTGTGGTTGCTGGTTCGTCTTGTGCCATAGAGACAGTTACTGACTTGCTGCTCTATATTCCAGTCTTGCCCAGTTAATGTGTATCCTATTGTAGTTTTTGCTCTTGATTTTCTATCTTCTGATTTTGGTTTTGTTCTTTAATAATCTTGCTTATATTACTTGTAATATCATAGTTAGTAGCTCTTCAATCTTGTTTTTACTCTTGAACTGTTTAGTTGTTTTTTGTCTAAACTTAGATATTCCCATTACGTTTTGGTTTAGTTTTGCTTTGCTTTTTTATTTTATTTCCCCTTTTGTACATGTTTCTCTGTGTGTTGCACTGAGTAGTGTTGTTGTCTTGAGTGGTGCCTTGTTGTGTATTTGTGTGTGTGTTCGTGCTGTGTGTTCCCTCCAGCCCTGCTCTACCAGCCTGAGACTCCTTGCCTGTTGGTCCCCCAAGGCGGCCTGCCAACCAAGCCTGGTGCTGAGAACCGAATCTCTGATACTGCCTGCCTTGAGCCCCTTCACTCTGCTTGCATGCTCTGCTGTTCTCTGCTCTGGTTTTCTCCCCATCCTTCCGCCCCGATTTGACCAACGACTGAGACTGTACCCCAGACTGTCTACCTCTCAGGGCATTGATCTTTCCCTGCTGGTTGGAGCTGTCCCAAGATTGTCCACCCCTGTGCTGTGAACTTGTGTGTCTTCAATAAATCTTGTTTCACTCACTCTGCATTTGGGGTCCCTTCCTGTTGACCGTGACAAGGAATCTGTACATTTTTTTTTTATAAAGATTGTCCGCCCCTGTGCTGTGAACTTGTGTCTTCAATAAATCGTTTCACTCACTCTGCATTTGGGTCCCTTCCTGTTGACCTTGACACAGTATCTCCTTAAGGTAACAATTTCAGGTTACAACTGTTTACAGTATATAGAGAGTACAAACTTTATTTTTATTAATCCCACCTGGATTTAATTCATAAGTATATTTGGCATTTAAAAAGGTTTTTATTTTTTTTTTTAATCCTTAATCATTTACAAATAAACAACAGCCAGGATACAGGTTTGTTTCTGAGTACTAAACTTACTCAACTGTCAAGTTCAGTTTAGACCAGTTTTCAGAAGACTCGTGAAGATTGCATGTTTATGAAGTGTTTACATTTTAGATGCTTTCAATATATTGACATTGTACAATTGCAGTGCCTATATCCAAACATACCCAAATGAAAGAAAGCCCACGAGTAAGGATGAGATTACCCTGGGGAAAGCGGAAAACGGTGAAAGAAAAAAAGGACTGAGGAGACGAGGAAGTACTTGATTCAAATGCAGAGGAGGAGGTGTTTAGTTAACTCAAGGTGACTCCGTGTATGTGAGTGTGTAGATATTTGTGGGAGTGTGCGATCTAATTAAAGTGGTAAATGTGCTGATGAGCTATCTGTGTGTTCTTTCCACTGAGAATCTGTCAGGCTGGGGAACACAGCCCGTGTAGACACGATAAGCACTGGTTTCTCTCATTGATTTTGTGTCTCGGGCTCTGGCAGAGGGGGACATACCTGAGAAGCCAGTACGGCAGACACATATGAATCCCCCAGGTTTGTTGATGCACACAGAGTCATGGAGGCAGGGGGAAGCTTCACATTCGTTTACGTCCAGGTTGCAAAGCGTTCCAAAATATCTGGTGACACAGTTGCATTGGAAACTGGAAATGCACAAAAATAACTTTATTAGCCAAATCTTATTTTTTAAATCCCTGGCTAAGTCTGTGACACAGATGTCTGCCAAACAAAATGGTACCATATCTGCATGAAGTTTTTTATTTTTTTTATTTTTTAGGAAAACTGACAGACAGGAAAAAGTCTGATTGACAGCAAAAAGATCTGAAGCGTGTCTGTTAATCATGACTTTGGCTGCTGCTATCATCGGACAAAATGACTGACAAGCTGACTCGGTTTCAAATACCCTGTCACCTGTCTAATCTGTGAGGACTTGGCCAGTTCAGTGGTTCTGTAATGGAAGGAATCTCTTGTAGCATATATTCACACTTTAATAGGGCATTTTGTGTCCCGCTGTGATTTTCGGCTGTCTTGTTTTGTTCACTTTAGTGTTCTTTTTTATATTTTCTCTTAATTCTGTACAGTATGTTCTGCTGGGCTTAGTACATTTTGTCTTTAAAGAGGTTTTTCCTTGATCTTTTGAAATAAAAGTGTTTAATATGCTATAAAAAAATGCTATAAATTTAAGATCTCCCCCATTTACTGAAACCTACTAGCTCTTTTCTAGCAAAAATGGCTTATTTACTTCTGTAAATTATGACACATACATTTATATATAAACAACACCACATTTTTAACAATTCAAAATTAAATTAAATTCAAACGCAGCCAATGCGTGTTCTTTCAAAAGATAGGGCACCCATATCAGATCTGACAGCAAACTGCAACACAAGTAAAATATAGCAAAACTTCAACCAAACCAAACTTTGTCAACCGAAACCCTCCAAACTAAAATAATAATTTGCAATACCCCTTGTGAAGTTTCAATATTTTAACAACACATTCACATGTTTATGGTTCTCTGATGTTAATCACATGACATGCAGGTAAAAAAAAAAAAAAAGAAAATTAAAAAAATTAATCTTTTTAGTAAGTATGTTAGCTCTATTGTATTTCTTTTTTACTTAAAAAAATGGGGTTAGCAAAACCCTAGGCTATACAAACATGCGCTAGATGGATATCTTTGGCCATTATAGCAGATTTTTTTCACATTTTTTGCAATGATATCAGCATTTTAATGTCAGGTTAAACTCTTAGTTTGATGATACAGAAAGAATGTGAAAAATGGTCATTAAAAACAATTAGTGTTTTTAGCGCAATAAACAAAAGGAAAAAAAATGTAAAGATACACAAAAAAAGTATGTTGAGATCCAATTAAAAATATTTTCTGTAGAACAATGTAAGTGTATTTCACATTTTTAACAGCTCCTTGGCACAAATCAGGCATAAGTAGAACATTTACTATAATAAAATGATATATTAGAGATGAATATGTTGCTTGCAAAAAGCTATCCTGCTAGAAAACATGATTATTTTCAATGTTCATCAATAATAAAAAAAAAAAAGTGTTTTTGCAGCCAGACGTTGTAGTTACGACATCTACCAGCAGGGGCAATCTGGATCATGCAAACTAGCCAAACCTTGACCTCGTTGGTCTTGAACGAAATCCTGTATGCTGTAGCCTACAAGGAGTATCAAAGCAAACATCTGTAAACTACTATTGTCAGTAAGCTACATACAAACACACCGACTTCTGACAGGACAAGGTAAAAGAGCTCCGCTGAGAACGATCTCCTCTAAAGCAAGCCCTGTTGTGTCAAAAGTGCACTTGTGTGGAAGAGAATAAGTTGTGAGCAAACGGAAACACCTGAAGTAAAATCCCTCAGACGGAAGCAATTCCGCAGGAACGCTGGGAGCAGATGGTAACAGGGGAGCCCGTACATGATAGGAGACAAAGTGGAGACAAACCATTTAGGACTCAAATTGGCCTCGGGATTCCTCTGCCCATATGTCGGACTGAACCAAGAGCGGCCCTGGGGCACCCATTAAAGCACAACGAGGAGAAGATCTACTGTAGAGGCGTGATGCGAACCTGCTGAACTATTCTCACTTGTGTTTAGACCAGCAGCTTATATATGTCAAGGATGAAAAAGGACCTTCATTACAAGCTGAAGCACTTTAGACAATAATACCAGCATCTCTCAAACGTGTCTCATTTCTAGACCGTCTAGTAAAAATAAACAGTTCAGAGAGGATACTTGGGCTCCTACATCATAATCAATTTATGGGGGTTGCGATACAGAGTGGAAAAAGTGCAATTCGGTGTTGCCATGGTACTTACCCGTTCACAAGGTCTTGGCAGACGCCTCGGTTCTGGCAGGGGTTGGATGCACACTCATTGATGTCTTCCTCACAGCGTTGGCCTGAGAAACCTGGCTTGCAGAAACAGCTGCACAGAGATAACAAAAGGAGGATCGGTTTACAGTTGTGAAAAAAAATCACTTGTTTATCTGGGATCATGCAACCAAAATGTGATTTTATAAAAGTTTGGGGTCTGTAATTTTAAATATTTTTGAAAGAAGTGTTTTATGCTTATCAAGGCTGAACTTATCAATCTAAAAATGAAATAACAGTTTTCTATTTTAATATCATTTAAAAAAATTTAATTTATTCTTGTGATATTAAATCTGAATTTTTAGCAGCCAATACTCCAGTGACACATGATTCTTCAGAAATCTATATATTCTTAAGGACATCAAAACCTCAAATAAAACTCCAGAAAGGTGTAAAATATGGGACCTTTAATAGTTGGTGCTTAAGAAACATTTGTTATAATAATCACATTGAATACAATAAATAAAACAGTTAATATTTTTGTGTAAACTGATAATTTTTTCAGGATTATTTGATAAATAGAAAGTTCAAACTAAAAGCATTTATTTGAAATAGAAATCTTCTGTAATATTATAAATGTTTTTACTGTCACATTTGATCAATATAATGCATCCTTGCTGAATAAAAGTAGTCATTTCTTATTATGAATCCATGAGCTCAAACCTTTGATGAGTGCAAAAGAATGTACTGCATAGTAAGGCACCGAGGAAACTACAGACTATTCTTCCATAAATAAATAAATGGCTGTCATCTCTATTGTGCTAAAACTCGGGTTCTAAAAAAACTACAATGGAAAAAACAGACATGTGGGCATACAAGCCAGAAATTGACCTTTCTGATAAATATACACAATATTATGTTTGGAAAATAGAAAACCTCAACTGTGCTGTAGAGGAAGTAAATGTGCTGCTTTGGGAACTATAGAACAACAACTGAGCTGCAAAAGCAGAAGTCAAGTCAGAATTTGACCTCAATCTAACTAAATGCACATTCCAGCACATGCACAAAATCTAGTTGTACATAAGGAAATAGTTATTCCTTTAACATTTAAATGAATTTAAACTTTTAATAATCTGGATGTTTTTATTTGGTATTACTGTAATGAATAAATTAAAATGTATACATATTTAAAAAAACATTTAAATTATTATTAATTACAATATTATTATTATTAATAACGTATTATGATATTAATAAAACAAGGCAATTTTTGTTTAGTTTAAAATGTGTATTCTAATGATTTATTAAACAAGTAATTTTTTTTTTTTAAGATCAGATGAGCAAGATAATTATTTTATGAGCAATTCTTGCAGTTAAAATATTTCAGGACAGACTTTTCAACAAATGTTTCTCACTGCATGTTGACATTGTCTTGTGAGGTCTTAAAGGGATAGGTCACAATTAGTCACTATGTTTTTTTTTTTTAAGATCAGATATGAGCAAGATAATTATTTTATGAGCAATTCTTGCAGTTAAAATATTTCAGGACAAACTTTTCAACAAATGTTTCTCACTGCATGTTGATATTGTCTTGTGAGGTCTTAAAGGGATAGGTCACAATTAGTCACTATGCTGTTTAGACTGTTTACACATTCTGTTGGATTTTTGTGGTGTTGTTTGTTCTTTTTAGAACTTGACAGACGTGATCACTGTGAACCATCATTTTGTGGAGGAAAAAAGTTACATAATGGCTTCTTTTGTGAAATAAGTTCTAAGCAATAAATAAATTCATAGAGGTTTAAAACGACATTGGAGGTGACTAATTAAGTACAGGATTTTCATTTTTGGGTGAACTGTCCCTTTAACACAACACAGTGCCAGAGAGCAACATATCTGCTGAAACACAAACAAACACAACAGAGAACTAAAATTAGAAATAAAAGGCAAAAAGACCTGTAACTGTTGACCCCATCCACACAATGGCCTTGGTTCTGACAAGGTCTTGAGACACAGTCATCGCTATCAATTTCACAGCGAGTTCCCTCAAACCCTGAAAGACAGATGAGATGGTCATGGATCAGTAAGTCTCACTGCTCCCTGAAAGCGTTAGGATCAATGATAACAAAGGCCCTTGGTGAATGCCATCTTAATGGAACTGTGCACCTCCCTATAGCCTATCTCATCTGCCAGGCCTCGTGCTCCTGGCGTCTCCTCCGAGGACTCTAGCGGCTCTAATAATACCTCAGTGCCTCCACAGATTAGGCTGAGGGCTCATGGTGGAAGTGTGGAGAGGATCTCGTTAAGATGAGGGAGACGGAGGAGGTGAAGTTCAGGGGCCTCTTTGCTCGTGTTCATTACGAGGATGAAGGGGAGGAGGGGGTGTAATCAGCTCAGGGCTCTTGTTGGGGAAAAGGTCCTGGGAGACGTGAATATTCAGCTCTTTGTCGGAGCGCTGCCGCTGTAAGCTCATCCTCTGCTCAGCAAGACACTTTGTGCCTGAAAAATGCTTCAGAGTCAAAATAAAATCAAAATGGAAATCTTTTTGCTTTAATAGGCGCTCCTCGTCTTATTGTGAATGAAAAAAGTATTTGTACTGTAACCTTAAATTGACATTTTAGAACTTGCTGCTTCCTCTTCAAGTTTTGTCACTTGCAGTAGGACACACAGGATATTGTATATTGTAACTTTCAGAAGTTTGTGATCAAAAAGATTTATTAATTTTAAAAAACAGTTTTCTATTTTAATATAGTTTTTACATTTTATTTGTTCAAAGCTGAATTTTCTAGACTTCATTTAAAATAATATTAATATGTTGATTTGGAACTCAAGGAGCATTTCTTATTATCAATTTTGAAAACAGTTGAGCTGCTTAATATTTTCGTGAAATTTGTAATACGTATTTTTTTTTCCAGGATTCTTTGATGAATAGAAAGTTCAAAAGAATATCGCAATATCTTGCAACATTATAAATGTCTTCACTGCCACTTTTGATCAGTTTAAAGCATCTTTTCTGATTAAAACTAGTAATTTCTTAGGGAAAAAATCGACTAACTTTTAAACTTTTAACTATATAGTATAATTTAAAATAAATATTTTATATTATAATATAGCTATTGTTTTGGTAATTCTGTAAAGGGATTTTCTTCATGCTACATTTTCTATTTCACTTGGATTTAAATTAAATTACTAAACTGAGCGTGTAGCAAATAAATGGCAAACATTGTCCAAATGATTTAACGACTCTTTAAAACAACATTAGTATGCATATATAATTATTGCATTCAATTTAATCTTTCACAGACCTTCTTGCTTTTAGCATTCTTGTGAGCTTATTGTCTAATTGGTTTAGTGTTGAGAACAGATGTTGCGCAACAGTGGAAAGACAAAAGAGAAACCTCCAGCATTGCTCATGTTTTCAGAAACCTAATAAGCTTGATTTCATACTGAGTCACCACCGAATAAATTTACAGTTCCAGTAAGCGCACTTTATTTTCTAACACATGCAGCAGAACATCTACTGTACCTTATCTTCTTCGAAGCGTTTCAAAGCACAGGCTGCTTTCACACATTAGAGATGACTCATAACAGCAACAATAGAAAGCCAAATGAGTATACGCTCTATCTGCATTTAATGCATGCCATGAATTATTCCCTCAAGTGTTAGAAGCGTCTACAAAAGGTTTGTTAAGGTCAAGTGCAACTAAACAGAATATCATTACCCAGTGATAAATTTTAAAGACATTTGACATTGAAAATTTAAAGAAAGGAGAGTTTTGAGGGCACAAACCTTACTGTAAACTCATCAATACACGATTTCTGACTGGAAGTGTACAAGTTTTTCCAATGATTTCCAGAGTTGGCTGATTTGAACTGGCATCAACCCCCAATCTCATTCCAGATATCATCCTTCCATTAGATTCTAGCAAACACAAGCGAGAATTGGGTCTCTGCCACTATGGATGCACAGTACAATATCTGCTGGATTATATACAGCTGGCACCCGCCCATGATGAATTGTCAATCACAATGTCTCTAGGGACAATTTGGAGTGTCAACATTAATGCATCTGCAGCAAGAACACACAGTGAGACTGGAGTTTCTTCATTGTCAAAACATAGAGCAAGATACCTGCGGCTTGCACAAATGTTCCATCATTCTTTCCCAGCATCCTCTGTGCTCCCCACAAAGCCTTGCAGGTAATCCCTGGGACAACTCATCCTTCCAAAGTAAATATGAGACTAGTTTGAAATTTAGCCATATCAACACAGCCCTGTCTTGGTGTTTGAAGTTCACTGTTAGTCTTTAGACATTGAGAAACAAGTAAGTCTGAAAACAAATAAAATCTGCATTAAGAGTATACATGCGCATAAAAAATAATTAATGTTCAATTTGTCCCACATTGTCATATCTATATTTGCATTCAAATTTAATTTTACATTTTATTATTTTTTTATTTAAATAATTACTTTTTATTTACTATATAACAATTAATTATATAGTAACAAGTTTAACATGACCAAGAACTGTTGGTCAACGTGTGTTGCACCAAGCATAAACAAGCAAATTAGCTCAACGGCTCTGAACGGCTCTAGCCCAAGCTGTGATATAAACGAACGCTATTGGCCATTTTAAAAAGGGGCGTGTCAACACAAAGTAACGCTGCGTGTTTCTAAGCATTTCATGGGACCTTTAAACAAGAGTCATTAACTAGCTTGATGAATTTATCAAGGTGAACTACAGTCATTTCTATTATTAACAATCTTTATAAATAACTAAGATTTATGAATGCAGTCTTAAAGCAACAGCATACTGGCAATTAGCCTTGGCCCATGATCATCAATCTGAAAGACATGAGCAAAATATGGCCAAAGCTAACTATTTTTAATAACCAGTGAACGTACACAAAGCAGGATGCACAAAGTGAGAGATTCCAGCTCAAAGGCTAATTGTGATGAAACACACACACAATTTATTTATCTGAATCTAATTAAAAGATAAATGTGTTTGACTTAAAGAAACTCTACTTAACCTTCTGCATTGTTCACTGGTCTGAAGTAGGCTCCAGGCCTGGAAAAGCAATGACAAGTGAGAAAGTTCTTTGTAAGGTGCCGTTATATTTGTTTCCTTAGCCTATAATTTTGAATGAATTTGCTTGGTTGAAACAGCAGCTACGCTAATTATGTCTCTATTTGTTTCTCTGTTTTTGCCACGGGATGTCACTAGGATTTACACAAGCTTCAGTATTTAGATAAAGATGGAGTTTTGATACCAGAGTATATTATTTTTGTCTCACTCACTGTTGCACATTATTATTATTCTTTAGTTTGGGTTAAACAAATCAATTTTGCTTGGTTGGAACAGCAGCTACGCTAATTATGTCTCTATTTGTTTGACATCCCGTGGTAACTAGGATTTACACATGCTTCAGTCTGGATCCAGAACACCTGAGAAGAGATGATGCCAACCCCTCAGAGGACCTCAGAAGATGCCAACCCTGAAACAACTTACAGAACTACCACATTTTGCTATATGTTTGATTGCATCATATAATAATTGTTGTTAATAGTGTTCATCGTCTGTTTGATTACGTCTTTAATTGATTTTTCCGTACATTTCTGCCATATGTACATTAACTGACAGTCACCACTGATAAGCTACCACTAAATATTGTAGAAACGTAATTTGCTGTAAAGTTGCTTTGCAACGATTTGTATCGTGAAAAGCGCTATACAAATAAACTTGAATTGAATTGAATTGAACGATTAGCTGTGAATTTGAGACTGGACTAGTTCAATAGCTCTGTTCTAAAGCCTAGTAAGCGTCCATTCTAAGGCAGCATGCTAACTGAAATGAAACCTCATAAGTGACACATTTGGAAAATCTTTCAATTAACTCCCCGTGTTACACAAATAGCACTAAACACCAAATCACTCTCGATTTACAATTGATTTTAATACACTGTCAGAAAAAAATGAGCAAAAAAAGAAAGTGCAAAATCCACTTGTCATTGCGGCAGTACCTTTAAAGACTGTGTTTTGTTTTCAAGACAGGCAGTGGAACGGAAAAAAAAATGCAATGTCTTGACATGCAATTTTTTAAATTAAAGTTGAACTTACTTTAACTCTCGTATGTAATCTGTGATTGTTCTGGAGCAGCCCAAGCCGTGCCTCATTGCGCTGTGTGAAATACTGACTGAATGGCAGCTCAAAACACCTTACAAAACATCATACTACTGTACAGCTTTTGGTTGGATAAAGCAAACCACTGTCACACTAGTAAAGTTTTGATGGATGATGATTGTAATCAAGGTAAAAACAATACAGTGACATGCAGGAGTCGTACCTTAGGTGCAGGTGGGTTTGTTATTATTGATGCACATATATTGATATATATTCAGTATATTCATGTAGCTGTCAAAACTGATGTACTGTGAGTGTTTTATAACAGATGCTCACCAAAGAACGATGTTTTGGTGAAGTTAGTGAGAATCAGTGATGTTTATGTACATATGGACATCCAAACATAGACATAATTGCTTGTTGGAATCATCAATGGAAAAGTAGTACAGTGGAATGTGTAAACGGCCCCCTTAGAGTAGTTAAATTTAATCTAAAGCTGCTACTATCAACCATTAAGGGGTAAATAGAGATACAAACTGTCCCATTGACAAGCTGTTGTACCTATAAAAGTACAATTATTGCACATTTTGCTCTGAGAATGTAAAGTTTCACATTTGCATATTGCTAAGCTAACACTATAATGCTCTAAAAAGCATAATACTATACAGTACACACAAATATTATATAAAAAAGTCCATTACTCACCATTGCTCATTCCTTTATTTTTTGCACTGCACTACGTTGTGGGATTGTCTTTCCTTTGAAAGATACATGCAATGGCTAAAAGAAGGTGTCTTAGGAGACAATATAATTAAGTTGCCAACCTTTTTGACCACTATTTCCGTTGACGTGATGCTATTAAATGTTGCCTAAGTAGGCGTTTCACTAGGTTTGGAACAGAACGAAATGGAAATGGAATCACAGAAAAAGG